TTGTAATTTTAGCAAATAATAATAAAGAAATTCGCATTATTAAAAAAAGTCTGTGAATTGTTAAGTTTATGAGCCTAATATAAGGCTCGCGAGCCTACTATGAGGCTCGAGCCGAGCCGAGCCTAAGACTTTTGGGCTCGGCTCGGCCTATGAGGAGCTTTAGTTCATTGTCTAATGTTGGTTCCTGAATCAGGAACCAACATTAGACAATGAACTATTTGCTTATATGGATATCAGAGATTACTGAACTGACTCACCTCTGAAGAGGCATGTTCTATGTCATTGTTAAATCGCCACGTAAGTGCTGAGCACAATACTCATTTATTTCATATCTCTATATCAAGTACATAGCCTTTATTAGTAAGTACACGCGTCTTATATATACGTCACCTATTTCCTATTACAAGAAGCTACTTCTTCGACAACTACTACGACAGTAGACTGTTCTAATTTGCCAAAAGAAATACTACTTTGGAACACATTTTTTGAAGAAGTGAATCAGTTCGACTTCGATAAAGAACTGAAATTCAAAATACCGCATTTTCAAATTTATTCTAATGTAGTCAGTGAAGAGGATGTTCGTGACACTTTTCATAACAATATTTGTTTAGTATTAAATGAGCTTTTTCTAGATTATCTGTTTTCGAGACAGTCAACCCCCCTAGGCAGGTATTGATCTTGACGATTAAGGTCAGAAGAAATCTCGTTTTATGTAATATTGGTGAATGAACCTTTCCAGACTTTTGTAAATCAGATCCGAAAGCAAGGATAGTGAATCAGCAGATTTAAACTATATGTGTCAAAATCAACTTCAATATAGTGTTCTCATCACTTATGAAAATCACTGGTTTATGCATTGATAAGATAAGACTCCATCAAAGCTTTCTATTTCACAAACTCTTTTATCCAGTCGAAATCTCCAACAGTACTCAAAGCTTACGCATATATAGTGATGCAAGCAAGTGCTAGCGCCCCTTCTTCCCAGTTGATGAAGGTTCGGATACACATGTTACTCGATCAATAGTTTCCAGAAAAAGAAAGAACCCAACTTCCGATAACTCAGAAAATCAGCAAAATCAGCGGAATCTTAACTTTGCGGACTTCAAATTTATTAGTATTTTAGGCCAAGGACGAATTAAAATTGCCTTGAAGACTGCTGATCTATGCAAAACCTCATCAAAGATCTTGAAAGAAATACAAAAAGAAGTCAAAATCTATAAATATCTTGTGGACATTCAAAAGATATACATTCCAAAATTGGTATGTTATGGCTACTTTGAAGGTGTATGCTATGTTATTGGTACATCTTTTGTTGGTACTTTCCTAAATAATTGTGAAAATTTAACAAGTCAGCAAAAAACTAATGCTCTTCGAGCATTTATGATTTTGGTGTACTTAATAATGACATTCGAGAGAAAAATATCTTAGTTAGCAATAATGATGATGTGTATCTGATTGACTTCGGCAGGAGGACTTAATAAAGAAGAGTGAACTTTTTGATGAAGAACAAGACGAATTATCTTTGTTGCTAAATGATATTGTGCCATTTAATTTGTATGCTGGGCGGAATAGGAAAAAGGGTCACAGGTTGACCAGAATTATAATTACGGCCTATGTAGATCTTTTTAAATTCAGCTAACCCTAACCTTAACTTTGGCCAGTTTTAATCCGAGGCAAGCATTGATTTGAGGTACAACATCACATCTTGAATTATTACTATTATATCAGACATATGTACTTCTCTAACTTCTCAATTCCGGATATTCTCAACCTTAACATCTATATTATCGTTCTTAATAAATTGATCTCAGATTTGTAAAATGTAATTTCGAATAAAACAAGTGACTGGCCTAACCCCCGGGATACCTGCAAAATTGTGAACCAATTAAATTCGGAGGTTGGATAAAGGGTCAACTCAAAAACAAGCAATTAGATTTAAAATGGTGACGAAATTATTATTTTTATGTTTATTTTACAAATTTTTGATGTTTCGATACCATTTATAAATATTAAATATTTCGTAAATAATTTAAATTATAGTATGTCTAATATTTGCAAAGAAAAAAAAAAACTTAGATAATAAAAAAAAATCCAAAAATATATATATATATGAAACAAAAATAAAAGTTATCATTCAAAATCGGATGATAAAAATAATGAATAACTATATAATTAATAATAAGATTAATGTAACAAATCTGCAATATTATTTTTTACAATTTCCGGAAAATCTTTTAATTCTAATATGCTCGCAACTTCTCTTGCCTTCTCTATTTGACCACTAATCACATATGCTTTTACCATTTCTTCATAAGTACTGGGTTCCCTGGCTACAGCATTTCTATCTTTAGTGTCACCCAGATCTACCATATTATTAAATACTGTTTCTGCTCCTTCCCATTGACCTAATTGTCCGTATCCTCTAATAAATAAATTTTCAATATAAGGAGTTGATTTAATGTCATCTTGCATTAACATAACATCATAATATTCTTCAGCTTCTCCAATACGATTATTAGCAATTAAAGCATCAAATAATGCTTGATATGCATTTTGATCAGGTCGAATGTTATGAACTGATCGCATATCATTAAATATTTTAAGTGCATTTTGAACATCTCTTTGACAACATCCATATGCATAAATTAATGAAGCGTAATGAGTTGGTTGTGGTGTTAAACCTTCTTGTCTCATTTGTTCAAGAACATTAAGTGCTAATGGTAAATCATATGGTTCAATTATAGCATACGTATCAATTAATAATTTATAGGTATGATCTGAAGGTTGTAATTGATGTCGTTTAATTTCTCCAAAATATTTAAGTGCCTTTTCTCTATCACGTAATTCCCAGGAGTAAAATTGCATCATGGTATTATAAGGTCCAATACGTGGTTGAAAGAATCTAGAATTTTCCATTTCTTGTAATACCATAAGCGCTCGTTCTTCTGATTTCACTCGAGTACATGCCGTAATTAATGCTCCATAAGTAATAGAATTAGGTTGAATTCTACGTCCTTTCATTTCTTTAAATGCTTCCCATACCAAATCATACTTTCGTGCTTTCCCAAGTTTACTTATTAAAACATTATAAAAATATAATGTTGGTTTAATATTATATTGTTTTATTTCACTATATAATTTTAATGCGGTGGCTGCTTCATCAGGATCTCTATCTCCTTCAGCTACCAATAAATCCGCATAAGCATTAGCATCAGGTTTATATCCACTAGCAAATAAATCATCATATATTTGATATGCTTTATCCAATTGGTTATTACTTGCATATGAAATTAACATACTATTACGTGCCCATTGTATAGCGTTATTTCCAACTGATGGATCTAATTTTTGAAAGAAATCAAGTGCAAGATTATATAATTCTTCAGCTTCTTTAAGCATTTTACCTTTCCCTAAATTTCTTATCGCTTGACTCACAAGTTCAGGTGTAGGTAATAAATCTGATTCAAGCATTAAATGAATTTCTTTCATTAATGCTACAGAATCAATAGTATGAGTTTTACACATTTGAGCAATCTGTGTAGATCGATTAATCTCCGTGATGGTTGGTTGACGACCAATATTAACAGCCGAACTTATATTATTATTATTATTACCATTATTAGATGATTCTGCATTATTTACATTATTAACTTTATTATTATTATTATTGTTGTTATTGTTGATTTTATTATTATTATTATTATTATTATTGGATAAAGATTCTGATGATTCTTTCTTCCATCTTTCTGCTCCTTCATTATCAGGAATTTCTAATAGAAAATGATGAACTTTTGTGAAAATTTTGTATGGTAAAAGAATTCCATTCTTTTTTAAATCATTTAATAATTCAAATATTCTTTTTTTAAATAAAATAGTTTTATCTTGAGGATCACTATAATGCCATATTGATATAATATTATCAAAGAGAGCATAAATATGTTGATTTTCGAGTATAGATAATTGTGAAGGAAGTTGATCTCTTTGTTTAAACATTATATATCGTTCATGTATTACATTACTAATATTTCCCATTGGTCGAAATCCATTTTCAAATAATTTAAATTTGGCTTCTACAGCATCTTTAAGAGAAAGATCTTGATGATTAAATAATGATAATAACATTTCTTCATGATTTGGTGGTGGAGCACTTAATCGATTAGAAGGACTACTAACAAGACTTTCTGTAAGTGCGATAATTTTAATAATAGCCGAAAGTGCAAGTGCCGGTTTTTTTGCTCCAACAAATTGATTAATAATTTCTTTAGTTAATCCATTATCCGTAACTTGATTATATTTAAACATATCATCTAAAAGATTTAATAATCCTTCAGGATCATGTTTTAAAGTTAAAGTTAAATAACCTGCCATTTCAGTATATTTAGGAGTCATATTTGATTCTATCATTTCATTATAAATATTTGTGGCATTTTTATAATCATCAATTGCACAATAATGTAATAATAATGTATCATATATTAAAAGAAATGGTTTTGGTAATTCATCAGATGATTTCATCTTTTCAAACCAAATTTGTGCTTCCTTTGTATGACCATAATCACATAAATCTCTAATTAAATAATGATAAGTCCATTCATCTGGTTTATTTCCTGTTTCTTTCCAAATATTTTCTAATACATTAATAGATTCTGGTATTTTATTACATCTAATATATGCTGACATTAATTGATTATATATGGCCATCGGTTCAAATTTTTGTGGTAAATTTGGTGAAATCCTTTTAAATTCTTCAAAACATTCTAATGCACTGGTTATATCACCCGCGTAACTATACATTGATATTAAATATCCAAATGTTAATCCAGTTACAATCGCTCGTCTTTCCATATATTCAAATACTGTTAAACCTTCTTCTATTTTTCCATGTGAACTAAGACAACGTAATATGTTATCACATAAATCACTTTCATAATAATAACCTGGTCTTTCATTTGTTTGTACAAAAAGTTTATAAGCATATTCAATACATTTCTCATCTTTAAGATTATCAATGGTTTTTTGTGTATTTAGATCTCGTGATTCATTTCCAGTATTTAATCTTTTTTTCAATCGATATACTTTTGATTGAACTTCAATTTCTCTTTTACATAAAGCTTTAATCATAATAGTGAAGGTTGATAAATTTGGTGGTATATTATATTTATTCATTTCTTCAAAATATTGAATTAATCTATCTAATCTATTTGTATCATTTCGAAATGCAGAAATTGTATCAAGAATTAAATTATATGTAAAAGTAGTTGGTCTTACACCACTTCTTTTCATTTCCTCAAAATGTCGTTCTACATCTTTTGGTAATCCTCTTTGTTTTGCGCGAAGTATTTGATCATTAAATTCTCTAAGAGCCAATATTTCATTTCTTTGTTGTGATAATTCTCCACTATTATTACTACTTCCAGATATTGAAGAATTAAATATTTCGGGTGGATTTTGTTGAAATGATGTTGAATTTGACATTGTATTATTATTATAACTTGTACTATTATAACTTTTAGTTGATTTATTATCATTATTATTATTGATCATAAGATTTGTGGAATGTGAACCTCGAGGTCTATATGAATTTATTGTATTAAAATCTGTTCTTTTATTATTTTTATCGACTAACGAAACTCCCGAGGTATTACTAAAATGTGAATGTTGACCTATCCTTGAACCGGGAAGTTTGGTTCCGTTACTTGCATTTGTAGTTCTTCTATTAGAAAACCCTCCAGCCGTGTGATGTCCCAAAACCGAATTACTTTTTGCACCAAGTAAATTACGTGCATTTTGCCTAGCTATGGCAACTAAAGCGGTATTAGTTTTTATATGTTGCATTTTTAAGAGAAAATTTTTTTTTTTTTTGATTAATTAATAAATTATTTAAAATTGAACCCAAGAGAAATAATTTAATCTCTACAAAAAAAATTTTTATAGATAAAAAATTTATAACCTGATTTGATAATCGTATAAAATTTATATGAGTCAACAATCAAATCATGCGGTCATGGGTCAATGAGAATTATTATACTAAATTCTATTGTATTAATTGTCTTAAAATTTGATAATCAAATTTGGTAAATTTATCAATATAAACAAATCATCCAACTTGAGTACCACTTGGTGGATTTTATTCAAAGCAAAAAAAAAAAAAACCTAAATGCCTACCTTTGAACTTTTTATAATTTATATTTGTATTGCAATTTTGTTGTTTCCCTAATATAAAAAAAATCAATTCAAACCAGTTATTTATTCTCGCTTAACTTATCATTACTTTATATTAATTATCAATCTTTTTATTATTAATTTAATAATATAATACATATTTACTAGTCAATATTAAAATATTAAAAAAAACTGTTTAAAAGAAATAAAAAAAAATGGTTTAACTAACAACACATTATAATGAGATGTCAATTAATTTCTACACATTATTAATCCCCAAAAAAAAAATTCATAAATAATTACAAAAAATTTACAAAACTCTATTTGTATCATAGGTCCTTCTATATTCAATTTTGTCAACCTTCACTTCCCCATCGATTAATTGATAGACATAAGTGACTACAACAACTCCTTGAATATCCATCAGTACGAAAGAAGGTTTAATTTCTCTGTAAATAAATAAATAAATAAATAAATAAATAAAAATATAAAAAATATATCTCACTTATCAAATATATTATATATATATATATATATATATATAAATAAAAGGAAAAAAAACTCAAAATAGAGAGAGAAAACCACTAACTCTGTTGTAAACCCGGAATATGCACCAGTAGCACTACCCGGATTAACAAAAAATTTTCCTTCATATTCAATCGCTTCAAATCGATGCGTATAACCTGATAATAATATATCAACATCCATTTGTCGCGCTACAATTGATAACGATTCTGCGTCACCAACAGGAATTGCTTGGTGACCATGAAAAACTCCAATGCGAATAGGTCCATGAGTTATGACCTTAGAAAGAGGCCAATTTGGAAACTAATAATTTTAATTTATTTTATTATAGGTATTTTTATTATATTTATTTTATTTTACTTTGGGAAATTTTTTTTTAAATATTTTAATATGTCACGCACCTCATCATAATCTCCTCTCACCATATGAACATCTGCTGCTATCGTACGTAAGTAATCAAATGTTTCTTTATCACATACATTCCCTGTACATATGATTTGTTGTATTTTACCAGGTACCTTTAGTATAATTAGTATATAAAATGTTATATTTTAGAATGAAGTCTATTTAAGTTACAATTTAAATTAAAGAAGCTAACCAAAAGCTTTTTGAACTTGAGTGGGAGATCATGTACTCGATAAGGAATGTGAAGGTCTCCTATAACTAATACTAACTGAAAAAAAAAAAAAAGTTTTTGAATTAGAATTCACCATTAAATGTAAATAAATAATAATTTTCCGAAAGTAAAAAAGTAAAAAATGTATTTTTCATTTTTTTTTGTAAATTGGAGTTACTTCTAAAAATTAAATAGTCGTCTCCTCTAAAAAATTGTTTTAATTGTTTTCCCGGATATTTACCACCATTGCAGAATTTAATTCTAATATGTAAAAAATATGTTTGATGAGAAGACAATCAAAATGTAAAAATTACATTTCGGTGATTTCATATAGATTTTTTGTTAATACTGCGGAACTTCTTTTTACATGTAGACTATATATAAACTTTTTTATGCAACTATATTACGTTCGAAGTGGGATTTTTTTTTTTAAAAAAAAAAAACTTTTTTGATCTTTGTGGCTGTGAACCTTAACTACCAAATCACCGGTTATTATCTTATTATAAAATTTTTCAACATGCAACAACGAACTAAGTCTCATAATGCACCAGTTCGTGCCCCATCTGACAATGTTAGTCAACGCGTTGGAAATAATAATAATAATCCTAGTAACAATATTACTTCCTCAACAAACTCTAATAATAGTAATAATAGTAATGGACCACCAGTAGTTAATACAGAAACACCACAAGTTATTAAAGGATTAGAGTGGGTACTTGGACTTTCGATTCGAGTAAAAACTCTGACTGATGACGAATATGAAGGACAAATATATTCATACGATCCAAAGACGAACTGTGTTGTACTTCATATCCTTTTACAATTTTTTTTTTTTAATTTATTTTGTGGAATTTTTAATCCTTTTTAAAATATAAAAAAAAAAAATCTTTAATTGACGTTTTATTCAAAACAGTGTCCTTCTTCTTCTTCCTCAGTTCTTAATTCAGGACACCCTCAAAAATATGATTTTCGAATCCTAAAAATTAACTTCCTTAAAGAAGTATTTCAGCTTCCCAACCATAAATCTTCGATTGATATTAATGCAAACATGACTAATTGTAACTCTACGAATCTCAACAATAATACAATCACGAATAATACATCAATGATGAATGGTCAAAGTACGAGTAATTCAATTTTTTCAACAATTTATCCATCAGTTGGTTATGTACAAATGGATAGACTTCAGTCTAAAGAATTATTGTCAGTTAAAGACACACAAGCTGCATTAGCAAGAATTGGAGTAGGCGTGACACAAGAAGCACAAGAAATTTTTGATGCATTGAGTAAAACGTGAGTAAAAAAAAAAAAAAAATTTATTATTTACTTTTTTAAATTTAATTATAATTTTAATAGTAATATTATAATAATAATGATAAATTAATATTGATAATAATTATATAATATAATTATAGATTACCATGTCGATGGCATAAAGAATCAATTGTGGTTTTAGATGAGGTAATCATCAGTTCACCCTATGATATAGAAAATTGTAAAGCAAATTCAAGTTCATCGGGATCTTTAGCGAGGGTTAAAAAAGTGGTATGTGTAATTTTTGAAATAATTAATTAATAAAAATTTTTATTTATTCAGGAATTAATTTATAAAATTTTATTTAAATTTATTTTATATTTTTAGCTAGAAGGAGAAAAGAGAAGATTGGCAAGTGCAAAAAAGTAATAAAATACAATATTAATTAATTTAATAATATTTCGATGGAATTTTATTGAATTATTATTTCGGATTTATAATTTTTATGGTTACTAATGTATGAGAAAAAATTTTAAGGATAAAATGAAATATTTTGGTATTGTAATATAGTGGAAAAAAAAAAAAAAAAGACACAGTTCTCATTAAATTTTCATAATAGACTTTCCGGACAATAATTTCTTTTAATTTGGAAATAATAATAATAATAATAATAATAATAATAATAATAATAATATTTCCTTTGAAAGCTGATTAAGAGGAAAAAGCAATTTTAGAGGGTATTATTTATGAAAAAGGAAAGGTTATTACTTTAGAATAATTGTTATTTAATAAGAAACCCCTTTTCTTATTTTATTTTATTTTTTTTTTGATAATGACACATTTCTTTTAATCGTGTCTATTAAATAATTACGATTTGGCTAAATGTCAATTTAAGTAATCATTTTTATCATTTTTTAAAATATTTGTAGTATATTGAAGACTTGATTGTAAAATATATTCTTAAATAATGATCTGAAATTAATAAGTCATGTGGAAAAGGTAAAGAATATATATATATATATATGATATCATGATTATTATATTTATATAATTTATATAGCATTAAGTATACATATTATCAAATAATAGAAATTGTTAATTTTTTGGCATTAATCAAATAAAAAAAAAAAAATTAATTTAATTTTAATTAATGAAATTAATGATAAGTTTTTGCAAGATAAATATAACTTGAGAAGTATTATTTTCATATTTCTATTCTGATAAACAAAAACAATTATGTAATAATAATATGTAATATACTGTTAGTATATTGTGTTACAAGTCGCACAAATATGGTTTATATTTTTCCGATAACCAGCTTTTTGATCGATCAACTCGTGATTTTATGAAATAGATAAAAATTTGCAATTTGTTCACTACTTTTACTACTTTTGATATATGTAAAAATCAGTATACGGGAAGTATATACCCTCTTGGTGGGAAAGATGATTTAAACCATATTTACGAAGCATGATTTTCCATAACTATCATCATAACGATCTTGTTTTATTAGCAATAATAAATTATAATGAAGAAACTTTTGAAATAATAATATTTCTTTAAATTTCTTTTCTTTCCGTCCTGTTCATTCCCTAGTGTGTCAGCAAAATTATAACTTCTTGATTTTTAATTTTGAGATAAAAATATATTCTTTACATATCATAGTTTTCACCATAATAATTCTAATCACGATGATGACTTTTTATAAATAAAGTTTCGCCCGAATTGGGAAAGTGTATATGGAATAATGAATGAAGTGCTGAGGTCTTCAACATAAAGATTTTTAGCTTTGCTATTTCCATTAATATTAATATTATTCATGTAATGATCGAGGTCATCACGGTTGGTTAAAAATGGGATGTTGAGATAAGTCTTTAAACTTGCTCTTTATTTCATAGCAATGAGGCTTCACTTCTGGCCTACGAGTCATGTATTTTTGTATGGTTTAATCACAACGTTCCGTTTATATTGCATAAAACTTTATTATGCTGAAGGATTCACGCCTGTATTTCCGCTAATTTTTTCTTCGCATTTTTCTCTCTAATCTCTCTAATCTCATGTGCTCCTTCTTTATCTATCGCATCTCTAATCTCATGTGCCCCTTCTTTATCTGTCCTAGCTCTAATCTCAGCAAGTTTTTTGTAACTTTGTATCTTTATTAACAAAAATATAATAATAGAACTAACAGTTACACACGCCATCACAATACCAGCAATTGCACCTGGTGAAAGTCCGTTTTGATTTGTAGCTGTTTGATTTTGATTTGAAGCAGATGGTAAATTTTGATTTGTAGCTGTTTGATTTTGATTTGAAGCAGATGGTGAATTTTGATTTTTATTTGAAGTATAATAAAGTGTACCTCGACCTGTAGAAGAAGATTGTGAATCTGAAGTATAATAATATCCAGTGCCTGAAGAAGAAGGTTGTGAATCTGAAGTATAATAATATCCAGTGCCTGAAGAAGAAGGTTGTGAATCTGAAGCATAATAATATCCAGCGCTGGCTGTAAATAATTTGGATGAAGAAGAAGTACCACACCAGTCGGTTTGATCTTTACAAATGGTGCCCGCTGGACAGCATTCACCATTTAAAGCATTTCCACAACAAACCTGGCCCGTTTGACAACAAGTGTCACCGCTTGGACATAAAGAATATCCAGTTTGACAATTTAGTTGTCTTTCTATCAATAAGAGGTTTTTAGAGTGTGACTCGACGGTTTGCGACTTGATGTCATTACCTCTTTCCCAGTTCGAAGGTGCAGTAACTTTGGTAAAACTACTGAAAGCCGCGGTGACCAAAACAAGTAATAAGTTAAGACTCTTCATGACGAATGATGATCAGTTCCAATTCTTAGTGTAAAACATTTACCAAAAAAACCAATCGCGATAGTTTTTATATATAACTTTTCAAGTAACAATCTAACTCATTTAACTTCATTTACCAAAAAAAAAACCAATCGCGATAGTTTTTATATAGAACTTTTCAAGTAACAATCTAACTCATTTAACTTCATTTACCAAAAAAAAACCAATCGCGATAGTTTTTATATAGAACTTTTCAAGTATCAATCTAACTCATTTAACTTTAATTTCATTAGTTTATTATCACTAACCATAATAATTTTGGTACCAAAATATTTTCGTAAATGACTCCGGCTTATCTTCTGATCCTTTATCACGATCTATTTTCGGTATTGCGAATTTATTTTTTTATTTTTTACAAGATGAATTTCCCGAAACTTAACCATCCGTTCAAAAATCTAAAATAAAACCAGTATTCAGTAAAATGAATCAAAAAAAAATATGGTAAAGTACTTTTTGCTATTTAAATACAAATTGAATTGGTTCATCTATTTCTGAAAGGTTTCTTTCAATAACAACCCTTGTTGTAATCACATTCATTTTTTAAACCTTTTTTTTTTTGAAAACATATACTGTACATAAGAAATTAAAATTTCTTCCCAATCAATAGTCAATTCCTTTCCTACTTTATTTACATTTCTATATTAAAAAACTCTTGCTTAGATGTAATATTTGTTTTAATTAATCCATAAACCTTCACAGGTCAAACACAAATGAATAAAAATTCCGATTTTAGCTGATCTATAATATAAGAATTATGTGATGAGCACTGATTATGCACCTTTAAATGGTTTATTAACTTTGAGAAAGCAATCCAAGAGAAAAAGAGTAGAAAGTTTTTTTTTATCATAAATTAAGCTTTTTATTTAATAAAAAAAATAAACTTACTTTCTATTGAATTCAAGTTGAAGACATTATAATTCTTGAAGTGCTTCAGGATACTTGTTTTTTTTATTTTTTGTTCTTATAACATTTCTAAAGTATAAAAAACTTTAAATTAATAAAAATATTCATAAAATAAAAACATTTAAACTTTATTTTTTCACCTTTTATTTCAATTTCTAAAATTAAAACTACTAATTCAAATTTTCCTTTTGTGAAGAAATTCAAACATAATTTAAAGTATCAAGAAACAAAAATATAATTCTCCTATATGTTATATATGTAAAAATTAAGAAAATTTGAATTGAAATTAAATGACATAACTATTGATACAAAATACAATTATTGATAAAAAGGTATAGCAAAATTAAAAATACCTGTTATAATTAATGTATTAAGAAAAGAGTTTTTTAATTGTGACAATAATATAATCTGTAAATCTGATCACAATTTGTAATTCTGACTAAAAGAATAAAATAAATATAATAAAAATATAAAAATATTGTGAAAGAAGTCTAAGTATAATAAAGGTAAATTGTGACTATATGTAAATTAAGTAAACTATAAAAATACATAAAGCTTTATAACTTGACTCTATTGTTATTAAATACAAGTTAAGTCAAAAGAATCAATGGTAATTTCTATATTACAGATCAGCTAAAAATTAGTAAAAATCAACTTCCTATATTATAAATCAGCTAAAATCAGAATTATTTTTGGTATGACAATTCTTTTGTATTTGACCTGTGTGAGTTCAAGAATTAGTCTTGGTGCAATTTGGCACAATGGCTAAATTCTGATACAAAGATTAAAATTTAATGCAAAGGTTAAACAATAATGTAATTCTAATTAACTAATACAATTATAATATTTATTAAATAATTATTATTAAATATAAGTTCTAAAATTATTTAAAAACTCTCATTATGAGCTTCTAAATATAGTTAAATTATTTTTCTAATATTAATTTTTGTAAAAATCTTCATATTTAAAAATAATTATTTTTATTTTTAATTCAAATCAGTTTTTAATTTAAAATAATTTTCTATTAAAATATTTCTATAATCAATTGAAAACTCTAGTTTTTAACTACACAATAATATATATTTTATTTTTGTAACACTAACACAGGTCAAATACAAAAGATATGTAGTAACAAAAAGGAATTCTAATTTTAGCTATTTTATAATATAAGATATAATAGGATAGTCAATTGTTACTGATTTTTAGCTGATCTATAGTATAGAAATTATTATTCAATACAGCAATTCTTTTGTATTTGACTGGTATAATATTTATAAAGTTATTAGTATTTGAAAATAATTTATTAAAAATATTAATATTGATAATTTAAATAATTATTCAATTATAATAATGATCTTTTTATGTAATTAGAATTATACCAGCCAATTAGAATTATGTCAGAATTTAGCTAAAATTTAACATTTGAATTAAAATTTAGTCAGGAAAAGATCAAGAAACCAGAAGTACAATTATTGAACCAGACTTAATATTAATTAAACCAACTATTCTTATTTTAGATTATTTCAAGTTACTTCAATAATTTAATTAATTAATTAATAATAAAAAATAACAATTGATTTCTTTACTTGTGAAATTTTAATTTTTTTGTTTATAAAATTTATTATATTGATACCTGATAGAATTGATATATTAAGACAAGAGTTATAACTACAGAATTGTAACTATAGTTACAACTATTTATTTTAATTATGACAATTTGAAATATTATAATCATATTATAATGTCATAATTATGTAATTATACTGTAATACAATAATTATATTATAATCATATCATAATGTAATTTTTTATAAAATTAAAATTAATTATCAATAGTTATTACATATATAACTTTTTATTTTATAAATAAATATTAAAAATAAAATTAAGTAATCTTAAAGATAATAATATATTGTATATTATATTAAAGAAAAGATCTATTTTGTTAAAATTAATAAAATTACAAGTGTATAATCTTTAAACAGATGAAAAATTTTAAGATAACAAGTATTTACTTATTTTTCTTATAAAAACTATAATAATTAAAATATATTTTATTAAGTATTTTTTAAATATATAAAAAATTATTTAAAATATTATTATTTTATAATTAAAATATATTTAAAGTATACTTAAAAAATATTTAATTTAGATAATAAGTAAGTATATTTTAGGTATATATTTAAAACATACTTAAAACATATTTAAAATTAAATATATTTTAAACATATACCTAAAATATACTTACTCATTATCTAAATTAAGTATTTTTTAAGTATACTTTAAATATATTTTAATTATAAAATAATAATATTTTAAGTAGATTATTACAAATATAATTAAGTATATTATAAATATATTTTAAATATATTTTAATAATATTTCAATGATATTTAATTATATTTTAAGTATTTTTTTAAACATACGTATTTTTATAAGGATTAATAATTTTAAATTTATTAAAAAAAACTTTTATATGACAATAATATATAATTTTTTTTTATTGAAAATTCATGTTATATATAAAAAAAAAAAAATTCAATACTAAATCTTTGAAAATAAATAAATTAAAAATTATTAAAATTTCTAATGTAAAAATCATTTTTTTTTTTTATAAAAAAATTAATTAAAAAAATAATATCTAGTAAATAACTATAAAATTTTATTACTGTTTTTATTCTATTTTCTATGCTATTAACTAATTTTTAATAAAATTTACTTTCAATCTGTGATCAATATTTCTGTAAAAAAAAATTTTAATTTTTTCAAATTTTTCAAATTTTTTTTTTAGCTCAAATATGATATTCAAATTCATCCTATAGGTATTTAATTGGGTTTAAGTCAGGTGACTGTTCTGGCTACTGGAAAAGAGATATTTTCATTTGTTATATAAAATTTTGTGTTATTATACTAGTATGAATTTGTACTTCCTATTTTTTTCTTCAAATTCTTTCAAAAATGATATCAAATGATAATTAATAATTTCTTCTATATACTTGTTACTATTAATTCACCTATCAATTCTGGTTAAAGGACTTAACCCATATCAAGAAAAACACTTCACACCATAATATTAATATTATATTTTTCTTTTGAAAGTCACTGTTACCATGAGTTTTTTCCATTTTTATAATTTCTTATTATTTTATTTTATTTTTATCTCTTATTTATATTTATTTTATTAGTATATTTAGTTATTAATTATTTAGTAGTACAAATTATGTAAATCACTAATGTAGATCATAATGGTCCAGTTACTGACCAATTTACTGATTAATTTAGTAATCATTGACCAACTTAGTTATCAACTGATTGACACAATTACTGATTAAGATTTTGGTCAACTTACTAACCAACTTACTAGTCAAATCAAATATTATAAAAAGAGTGAGTTTTCTCTTCACCCCAGATAAATTCAGATAGTTTCGAATAAAATTTGAATAATTCTAAATAGTGAAATTTAGAAAATAATCTCAACTGTAATTTTTATAATCCTAAAGTAATTAAATTATTGATTTTCTTCATAATAAACTTATACCTTTTATATTAAAACTCTGTTCTTTTTATTAATTTAAATTCTTCGAATATAAATTCTGATCCATAAACTTCTGTTACCACTTTATAAACCATTGATAAATATATTTAATTCTTTGTCTTAATTTCTTAACTCGACCTTTAAAATTTAATCATTAGTTAATAGTTAAATCCTGTGATCTTAAATCTTAAGTCCTTTAATTAGTTTTTAGTATTAAACTTTAATATTTCTTTTATTCTTCTTCTATTATCCTCTTCAATTCGTAAACTAAAGTAACTGTTTACAAGTTGCTAGTTTTAAATTACCTTTTGAAAAATAAAATTAGCTCAAAAGGTCAACTAGTAACACCGTTATATATGAATTTTGTCATTATTCCTAAATAATGTGAATTATAATTCATTACTTCAAATCATCTTTTTTCAATTATTGATTGTTCACAATTACCTTTCACATGTTCAATTTAAATAAATTTTTTTATTTTTTTACTAATATTAGATTTTCTAAGAGCTGTTCGACTATGATATCACATTTCATATAATGTATGCCTTAGTATATTCTTGATTATTTCATTTCCAGTACAGTTATTAAAATTTTCTTGTAATTGTTCAGATGATTTATGATAATTTTTGACAAAGACTACCTTGAGATGACACTTATCACATTCAGTTAATTTTTTTAATTGATCACTTTTAAGAATAACAGAAATAGTGTTTTTTTTTATGAAACCTAATTATAATGTTATGAATAGTAGTCTTTCTATATCCCTTTTTTTGAAATGGTTTTTTCTAAATCACCAGCAAGAGAAAAACCAATAATTTTTTCCTGTTCAAAATCTATTAGCTCTTTTTTTTTTATGATAAGAACATTGATAACAGTTCAGCATCAGTAGAATCTATTGAGGAGAAATATAATAAAATTGAACTAATAGAAAAAAGTACAATGCATAAATTTAGAATGTGAATAAACTAAGGATACAAATATGATATTAATTATAATTATAGATATAATCACTATATCTGATGGGGTTTTGGCTATCAGTTTTTGAGGTTATACTTAGGCAATGATGAGTTAGACCATAAAATTTTATTTTTAGTCAGTTTCAATAAATGTAAAATAAATTATCTATATCTTTAAAATTTACACTTAATCTATTAATAAAGTTTATTGGAGCAAAATTCTGTTGGATATAAAAAAAAACTATTAGCTTTTTTTTTTTAACTATTTTGTGAAAACAAAGAACTATCAAACAAAACATAATTCATAATAGTCATTATTGATGATCAGGTAATACAAAAATATTTTTATTTATTTTATTTTAAGTTACACAATCATATAATTACATTTTTATATAAATTATAAGGGTGGTTTTAAACTTTTAAATAAGGAGTATATTTGAATTATTTTTAATATATTTTAATAATTATTTTGTTGAAAATACATATATCTACATATTTTTTTAACAGTATTGTAGATAATAGTATTAAACAGATCTATGTTATTAGTAACTTAAAAAGTTATTATTATTATTAAAATAATTTTATTAATATTACACAGGTCAAATACAAAAAAATAGGTAATATTAATAAGAATTTCAATTTTAGCTAATTTATAAGACAATTGATTTTAACTAATCTATAATATAGAAATTTCAATTTTTAGCTGATTTATAATAGAGAAATTACCATTTGGTATAGTGAATTTTTTATATTTGATTAGTGTTAATATAATATTTTTATTAGATGTACATACAAGAAGATGGAAAATTTTAAAATATATATCAAAAATAATACAATATCTATTTAAACCACAAACTTTAAAACTTTTAACAGAAAAAATGATATTGTTTTTTACTAAAGAAAGTTGTTGATTTGATAAATTTTTCTATCAGATATAGTACCAGCAATATTCCTTTGTCAGAAACTTGTAATTATTGTAATAAAAATTTAGAAAATAAAATTTATTAGTTTGTGATCATGAATATAATTCTGGATATTATCAATTATTAGAATTTAAATATAATATTGTGAAGAATATTACAAGAAACAGATTTATAGTAATGTAAATTCTTTTATTAAATGATTAGAAAAAGGATCAAATATTCTTATTAGAGAAGAAATAGAGGAAGAATAAACCACAGAGAAAAATGAATCAGAAGAAATAATAGAAACTATTGGAATCCAAAACTGTCGTATAGAATTTTTACAACAATTAATGAAATAAATAACTAGTAATAGTAAAAAATTACCTTGTATTATAACCCTCTGAAACATTGGATTAGATTAGATTAAACAAAAATATAGATTTCGAAATTAATAAATATCATGTGGCAATTGGTTTTAATAAAACATATGAAAAGTTCGTGTAACATGTCAATTCAATCGATCAGTGTAACATACACCAAAAAGGATGTATGATAAACCATAGTCTGTTTTTGATAATTTATCTATTTTTATAGTAAGCCATGCATCAAAATCAGAACTTGAATGCACCAACAACGGAACTTTGGTATCACTATTCTTATCCATTATAATGTCGTTCATGTGTTTTAGAGAATATAAACATTATGAATTCTTCACATAAGAAAGGAGATGTGTGATTAAGAGAATATAATGCCCACGAATACCAGGTCTGACTTTCATTTACTACTACTCTTCTTACAAGCAAGAGCTTCGTTATTTAAAAGAATCCTCCACGGTGCAAACTTATGACGTAAATAGTAAGTTATAAAACATATGACGTATGTTTGACGTAACTTTGAAGAAAGCATATAGTTATAACAAAACCATTGTGTCATAAGGTGTAACAAGTTTCCATATTTATTATTTTTATTTTCTAGTCGGAGTCAACAATCCAAAATAGATTAAAAAAGGTAATAAAATTCTTAAATTTACCAAATATATGTTGGTCTGTTATCCACATGATTTTTCTCCTTAGTATATTATATATAGATTGAATTACACAAAATAATATTAAATTATAGAATAGAAAAACGAATCAAATCTCAATTTAGTATTACAATCGCATCTATTTTAAGGTTATTTAATATTATTATTAAGATTTAGATATAGATTTTTGATAATAAATAATCTACTTTATTTAGAGATTTATTTATTTATTTGTTTGACGAATAAAGAAAAAAAAAAGAATAATGAATGAATTTACGAATCAGTATTCGTATTATAATGACAATTATAAATTACACTATAAATTATTTATACCAAGAATGAATGCATTAGAATTTAGAATGAATATATATAGTTAGAATGTATTATATATTATATGTATGTGCAAAGACTACAACAAAGACCAGAACAAAAGTGAATATACTGTACCCGTGCAAATCTTTCTATATCCAAACTTTGATATGAAAAAAAAAAAATTCTCTATCGGATCAATGTTTAGATGAAATATGAAATATAATATCAAACTAGGTAAGATAAACTATAATTTTATATAGAATAGCAACTTTTTTTTTTATTGAGAGGGGCTTAGAGAAAAAGTCTTACTGTATATATCATATATCTGTCGATCTCGGGTAATAAAGATAATGTGATACGAAAATTTAAAGTTTAATTTAAAGAATCCGAGAATCCGAGAATCCGACTATAATATATTACATCTCGAAGAGATGAAATAACCTTCACAAGTCTGTAAAATTAACTTATATGCACGATGGTAATATAATATTTTGTTGATATGTGATTTAAATTACGTATAAAATTTTAAATTCAAACGCGTAATGTTAAATTCGAATATTAAACGCGTAGAATTTTTAATTAAACAAATTCATTACCAATCATTGATACTTTCTCTATACTTAACAAAAAATCTCGATATTATAATTATATTATAATAATATTATAATAATGGAAATCATGTTAAAATTATCTTTTCATTCTATAATAATGCGTATAAAAAAAAATTGTCACTTACATCTTGACTTCAAAAGAATGTTAAAAAAGGTAATCATAAATTGTTATACAATGTATTCCATATAATAATCCTCTTAATAAAAGTTAAAAAAAAAACAAGAAATGTTATTTGCTTGTTTTTATTTTAATATATATATATACTATATATTCATGTTATTTGACAAAATTAAAAGAGAGAGAAAGAAAAGGAAGTCCATTTTTTATAAAATGATGTTATTACTACTACGACTGTTACTAATAAATGTAAATATACATTTGATTGTTTGAAGAATGAGTGTTAGGAAAAAAAGAAAAAGAAAAAAGAATAAAGAAGAAAAAAAATAAACAAACACGAAATTATAATTCTATAATAAATATTTGGTTGATATAATTTTTCCTCTTCATTCATTTATCCGCAGGCTCACCAAAAATCACCACCAAAAAAAAAAAAACCTTGTGATAATTAAATGTGAAATAAAGGAAATAAGAGCAAAAAATCCTTTTTCTTCAAAAAAAAAATCTCCAAAATTATTTTTTTTTCTGGTGGTGATGCGCAAAAAACATCTATAATTCTACACAAAAGAAGAAGTACATACAAGAAAAAATTAAAAAACAAATTAAATGCAAAGAACAAAAAAAAAAGAAATTGTGGTAGCCCTTGATAATAAAAATAACAATAATAATAATGATTATGATAATAATAATAATAGTAATAATAATAGTAATAATAATAAATTATAATAAAACAAAGATCGAAAAAAAGGTTTGAAATTAAATATAAAAATAATTCTAAATAAAAGTTATAATTATGAAAATATACAACAAAAAAAATACAACATTCAAGTGGTAATTTTTTTTGCCAAGCCGGTCGGCATTTTTTGTATATAATTGTTTTTTTTTTTTAATTACATACATAATAGTAAACTAAAAGAAGAAAAAGTATCCCAATATTCCAAAAAAATGTTATTATTTCTTATCTATCTTCTTCTACAGAGTGGTTAAAGTTTTTTTTTAATAAATCATACGCGTTTTTTTTTAATTTAAAGAACGAGAAAGAATTACCGAATTTTTTTTTATTTTTTTTATTTTTTAATTACGAGCTGCTTTCTTTTTACGGCCACCTCCTTTCTTTCCATTTGCCAACTTAGCTAAACCTTTGACCTGTAAATCAATTTTATTAAGATCTTCTTCATACAATTCATACTCTTTCTTCATAGCTTTGGCCATTCTAAATTGTGAAGTATGTTTAATCAAATAATAAAATTCTACCACTTCCGCAGTAGTTTTATGAACTTGTTTTCCAATCGATGAAAATTTTTTTCCATGTTCTAAATATGATGCAAGAAATACTTTATGTTGAACGGGAGTCCATTTTGAAATAATTGAAGTTCTTGAAGGAGGAAATGGATAATTTGGATTCTTGGAAGGATTAAAATTATATCCACCACATCCCACTACACCATATATATTGGTCATAGTTAATCGTCTGGTTTTTGTATATGGAGCATCAAGTTTTTCAGGTATTGGAGCTGCTCGTTCGCGATAATAACATTCTTTTTCTTCATCTTCAGATATAATTGATTTATGTTTTCTTAGACGCGTAGCAGGTCCAGATAAACGTCGTTTACCTAATATTTGTTCTTTAGAGCGTTTACTAGGTTTAGGTTTTCTTGATGAACGACGTGGACTTTGAGATCTGGAAGAAGGGCTAGATACCACACTACTTGTAACGGAAAATGATGAAGGAGATAAATGTATTGGATTTGTTGTATTTGATGACTTTCCTGATATATTATTAACTAAATTATTATTAATATTATTATTGGTTAAAGATTTAAATGTGATTGATTCAAATTTAGTTGATTCAAATCTTAATGATAAGGTATCAGATGGTAATTCAAGTCTAGATGATATATTATCTACATTATTAAAAATTTCTTCTTCAGCTGAACTATATGATGCAGGACTTGATGAAAAATCACTTGGAGAAATAGCACTTTGTGGAGAGAATGATGAACTAAAAACGACGCGTGGATGTGTATTTGAAGTTGAACCTTTTTCAAGAATATTGTCAACAAATTCTGATTCTTTTCGCGCCTCCATTGTCTTTGTTTGATTATTTGTTGTCGAATATAATGAGGAAAGGGGAAACACGGGATTAGAGGGATTTTTAGGGATAGAGGGAATGTTAAACATATTTGAAGTAAAGGGTGATAAATGAGCTGAAGCCATGTTCATTTTTTAAATACAAATTTTAATAATAAAAACTAATAATAAACAAAGGGAAACGCAAATACACGTGTTGGTATGAGTTAATATATATAGTGTTGATTTTTTATTTTTAGTAAAATGCGCGGTAGAACTTTTTTTTGTCAAGTTAAATAAAAATGGAGGTAATCTTTAAATAAATAATATTAGTACATAAATATTAAAATAAAATTATAATAATAATAAAAAAAACAAATAATAAAATAAATAAATAAATAAATAAATAAGTATAGAGTGGACTTTATCCACTCCTCCTCCAAACGCTACAATCGGAAATTTAGAAAATATTGAAAATATATTTTTTTGGTATAAAAGAAAGTACCCCCTTTTTTTTTTGGTGGTGTTCTATAATAATAATAAACAATAGAAGATTTCAAGCTTATGAGAGAAAAGTAAGAAAGGTAATAGAGGTAAGATTGATGATGAAGGGAGGAGAGACTAACTAATTAGCTAGAGATCGATGATAAGAACGCAGTCCCCCGAACCCAAAATTACTAAATAAAATAGATAATAATACCACGCTTAAATATATAGTCCGCGTTAATATAGAGAACGAACACAGAAGACGTTAAAACACGCGATAGTAGACGAAGTGACGCGAAAATAATAAAGTAAGAGAGGTGAGTGACAAAAATAAAAAGTGGGGAAACGTTATCGGAGGGGCGGTTATTCAAAAGGGCAATAAAATTTGCGGTGTAAAGTTTGGGGAGGTTTTTTTAAGAGACAGACAAAAAAAAAAAAAACGGGGTGTATAAAATTGTAGACAGAGTACGATTGACCATAAATATTATAAAATATAATCAATAAAATATCAATAAAAAGGTTCACGAATGAATCGATTTAGAAAACCCAATACCAGTCCGATGTTACACGCGGGGCAGTAGAATATCGTCGGAAATAAAATCAAAACGTTTATTTACTAATATATATATATTCTTTTATTCTCTAAACAATCTAATAAAGTATTAAAAATAAAAATAATATGTAATAGTTTCAGGTATGTAATACACTTTCATATTGTGGCTTGACTATTTAGTACACACTTCTTCTCTATAAGCCTCCTCTCTATAGAGTATAAGCCACTTCTCTTTCTTTCTTTCTTTCTCTACAATATTTTAATATTTTGTAACCTTTTTTTTTTGATATTTTATTTCTTTTAACACCATGTACAAGTACTTATGCAAGTATCTACAGCATTTACAGTATATATAACAATAGATATTATTCTGTAATATATATCAGTTTGATTCATATTTTTTTTTTGACATATTATTTGATGTAATACAACATTCAATATAAATTCTGCTACATGTGACTTCTTCATCTCATTATTGATACTGTTTGATTGGTATTATTTTTTCTTTGTAAAAAAATGTATTCCTTTTCCTGTTCTTTTTTGTCGTCATTTCGTGGTAGGAGTATTGGGAGTAGTATTATTAATGGGAATTATGGTAATAGTAATAGTATTAGACTTTTAAATATTTATTATCATAATGTATTTTCGTCTATCAGATTTATACACAAGAAGAGGAATACATTAAACGTGTGTAATTATAGTAATTATCCCGAGACAATAAAACATTATTTTCGGGTAAGAAATTATTCTACGATTAATAATAATGTAGAAGGTATTCTTTAATTAAAATTATTTATTGACAATAATAAAAATTACTTAATATTTCTATATTAATTCTATATTCTATTTATTTCATTTAATAAAAAATAGAAACTGAAACGAAAATTTCTCCTCTCCTCATAAAATTAAAAACTGAAGTAAAAGATGCATTGAGAAATAAAGATCAAGTGAAATTAAATGTTGTTAGGGTAATTAATTAATTTATTATTTTTATCGTCCACATGATTTCGGCATTATTATTATCCATCTATTATCTAAAATATTATTTAATAAAAATTAAGGGGCTTCTCTCGGATGTCACTTATGCCAGTAAATCCGTCCCTTCTAGTTCTTCCTCGCCCTCTTCCACTTCCATTCAAATCGGAATATCTGATCAAGATATTTATCCCATAGTTAATCGGGCAATCAAACGTCATAAAGAATCCATTGATCAATTTTCTAAAGCAGGTCGAATGGATTTAGTAGAAATTGAAAAATTAGAGTTAGATATTTTAAATTCATATTTACCTCAACCAATGACTGAACAAGAAATTGAATTAGAAGTTATTAAAGTTATTAAAAAAATGGGATTAACTAAAGATGATGGTGGAATTAAAAATATGGGAAAAGTTATGAAAGAATTAAATCTTGATATTGGAAGAGCACCTAAAAATATTGTGGCTCAAGTTGTAAAGAATGCTTTGTCTTCAAATGATAGTTATTAACTTTAATAATAAATATCAAATAATAATATTATTATTATAATTTTATAAATTTTAAATTAATAATACAAATTTTAACTAAATAAAATAATAAATTCATAATAAATAAATACAATAAATTAATAAAATGAATAAACAAATAAATGAATAGATATAATTTTTAATAATAATAATAATAATAATAATAATAATAATAATGTATAACATCTGTTATAAAAAAAAAGGGAAATAAGTTATTAACAATTAATTAAATTAATAAAGACTAAAGACAACATACTAATTGACCAAATTATTATTATTATTTTTTATACCTGACATCTTTTCTATAACCACTATGACCATTATTTATGAGGAATTTGCATAAACTAAAAATAAAAATAAATAAATATTGAATATTAAATAAATATTAAATATTAAGTAATATTGAATTAATTATATTATTTACCCTCTCCATCTGGTTCTACCGATTCTACGGATTCATCTTCCTCCAAAGAACTAACCAATGAATCAGACATTTCAACCGCCCATCCTTTCATTACTATTGTATATTTATGAATAATAACCGCTCCAAGACCTATAAGTGTATCTTCCATTTCCTCCATATGTTCTTTTGTTGTATTTTGATGCAAAGTAATTATATATCTATGCCTTGCTATAAAAAAGTTAATTTTAATGTTAAATGTTTAGAATAGACCATATAAAGGAATTTTATATTAAACAAGGAAGTTGAACTGTAAACCCAACTTGAGTCAGTAGAAGTAATTTGTTCATTCGCAAACAATAGGCTAACAATTGTGAATAAAACCATACTAAAAAGTAGTATAGCGAAAATAGGTTTCTTTTGTATCCAAGCCATTTATTTAATAAAATTGATAATTATAAAATTTGAAATATTAAACGATCACACATATCTTTAAATTATTTGACTGTTAGTACACGAGACTTATTTTTAAGTAACGTGATGCAACTAATATACATTTTTCACGTGATATATAGAATTAAAAACACGTGTCGATCAAATAATTAGTTGTACATAATAACTTATCAAAAAAATAACATAGATATATCAAAAAAATAATCATAGATCTATCAATCATAGATCTATCAAAAGCAGCGTTGGTACATTTTATCATTCGAATTGACTCAATTGGACTTATTAGACAATTAAACAATTGGATATAGTCCAATTGTATCCAATTGTCCAAATGGTCCAATTGATATATGTTGGAATTGAACTATGTTTAATCTTTTATTTGAACTTAGTCCAATTGAATTAATCAATTAAATATAAAAATTAGAATCTAAACAAGTACTTTATTTTTAAAAATATATAAAAAGTATAAACTTAATATTTATTTTTGATTTTACTATTGATAATTAATAATTAATATAATATAATATAGTATAATGAGAAAAGATATTTCTCATTCAGGTAAGTTTCTCATTCTATAATTCCTATAATTGTCACATAGCATCACACTGTCTAGATATCAATTTTTATTATATTTTCTTTAGATTTAATTTTTTTTAAAGTTAGAAATAATGTTATTAAGTCTAAGTCAAATTGAATTAGACTGAACTGAACCAATGGAACTAAACCAGTTTGACTTGGGGGTTTAAGTAATCAGTTTGGTTTGACTTCAAGCCAGTTAATTTGCAGTTTAGCTTGACTTGAGTCACTCAAGTCAATGGTAAGTTAATGGAATTGATGAAATCAAATTATATCATATGTTATCTATCTATAAAACTTTTTTATTTTATAAGTAAATATTAAAAACAGTACTAAGTAATCTCAAAGGTGAAAATAATGTGCATCTTTTATAAAAAGTTAAGACCTATGTCATCAAAATTGAGATAACAATTGATAGTTAAATTTAGAAAAGATAAAAAATTTTAAAATAATAATTTTTCACTTAATTTTGATAATATAGGTCTGTTCTTTTAATATAATATGTAATTAATTTCTATCTTTGAGATTATTTAATAATTTTTTTGACATTTATTTATAATATAAAAAGTATTATATGTAGCTACGATCAATAATTTTGTATATAATTAGTATAATTATTATAATAATAAATATATAACCTAACCTATCACTTTGCTAACAGATTTAAATTATTATTTTATTAATGATATATGCTTAATCTAATTATTTAATTTATTATTATTTATTATACATAATTCAATAATAATAATTTATATATGGTTACTCTAAACATCAAATCATAATCAGAAAAAATTTTAAATAATATAATTATAATTATATACAAAATCATTGATTGTTGCTACATATAAAACTTTTTATATTATAAATAAATGTCAAAAATATTACTAAGTAATTTCAAAGATAAAAATTAATTACATATTATATTAAAAGAACAGATTTATATCATTAAAATTGAGCAAATAATTGTTATTTTAAAATTTTTATCTATTCAAAATTTAACTGTCAATTGTTATCTCAATTTTGATGATATAGGTCTGAGCTTTTTATAGAAAATGCACATTATTCTCACCTTTGAAATCACTTAATACTGTTTTTAATATTAACTTATAAAATCAAAAATTTTATATGTAGTAACTATTGATAATTATTTTTAATTTTATATATAATATAATTATTCATTAATCCCATTGATAGGGTTGATGAGTCAACTTGAGACTTATTAACACCATCAATCCCATCAACTTCATTCAATTCCATTGACTTAGATAACTTGATCTAATTTAATTTAACTTGTACCTTCAAGTTGATTAGATTCAGTTCAGTTTAGCTTGACTTGCCAGTAGTTTGACTTGACTTTGGCCTCAAGTCGAACTGAACCAGACCATTAACAACATTAGTTAGAAAACCTTATTTGTCACAAGTAAGCACCTGATTATCATTTTGTAATTACATGAAAGTGATTTTTACTCGAGTAAAAATAGGGAGGTGAGGAATAACATTACCCTAATATAATATAATAATAAAATAAATTTTGATTTTACATTTTATAATTTTTAATTAAAATTATTTTTTATTGGATAATAATAAATATTGGAATTGGACTTAAGTCCAATAGGTTTAATTGATTAATTGGACAATTGGTACTAGTACAAAGAGTCCAATTGTCCAATAGTCCAATATGCCAACACTGATGAGGAGAGTTAAATTTCGTTTAGTTAATGTGTAACTGTGAAGCAAAAAATAAAGCTCTTTAATACTTTGTAGTTAAAATTATTTCTATCAAATGTTTGCCTGCCAAAATGTATGTATATCAAATCGTGTGTTAAGTGCAGAAATCATGAACATATATTTTGAGATCGACTCCTTTTTCCTTTCCAGTTCAGAAAAAGATGTATTGTTAACCATCTGTTATCAATAAATCCAAAACATTATAGATCATGTACCTGATAAGTATATATATATCAATGCCTGAAGTTGGGACACTTTACTTTTTTCACACTCATCTCTCAAATTACTAACAATGTCATTTATACCTATATATCCACCACAATCAATATGCGTATTATTATATATCACTCCCATTCTCATCATATATATCGCTCACGAAATATTACAAATATATATAACTCAAATAAATGATCTAAAAACCTAATCTGCACAAAAAATTAATCGTAATATTCTATAGTATAAAGAACCAAATCTAATAGGTCTAAATACATTATAAGTTATATAATCATTTAATCACTTAATTATTAAATAGATTATAAAATGATTAGCAGTCGGAACTTACGTGGTTTTGATGGATCCAATGCTGAATGGGATGAATATTATATTTATGCCACAGGTTCGTACTAATGAAACTTCTAGTGAGTGGAAAGAACGAATTTGGTCTCGTTTACAGTACTTCAGAGATAATGATCTTTTACTTTACAGTAGTAAAAAATATCTTGAAGCCAGAAAATTAGTTAGGCTTTGGAGTGAAGTAAATGGATTTTGGTCAAGTTATGCTCCTGAAATTGGTATAGCAATTTGTTTCAATTAGTACATACTGATAAACGCACCAGAAATATTGGAAATTATAATCACATAGTAATGGAAAGGCATTGGGCTATCTCATTGTAACGGAAATACCTTCTGTGGTGTAAGTTATGAAGAGTATTTGAAAATCAAAGAAAAATCCAATTTAGGTTATAACTATGATAATGAGTATTTGCATTACATCGATATGAATTGTGGATGCAGAATGCTATTAAAAAACTCAAATGTGCTAAAGAGGTTGGTAAAAAGATTCGAGCAGTGAATATCATAAAACAAAAATTCATTGAATATATGTATAAACCTGATGGCATGACAGCCAAGCAGTTAGCTATACATTTCAAATTCTTATGGGGAATTCGAGAGGAAATGCATCGTGTTATCCATTAATTATTACAAATATAACGGATATAAATACATATATTTATCAGTGGATATATCGATATATCGTCCAATAAATTTTGTCCTAACTTTTATATGACATCAACGGCTTAATGATATATGTAAACTGAAGCGCGTACTATCATCTCACCACTTTGTATATTATCTTTGTATATTACCATTTTGTGTACTATCTCTAAAGTCCATACGCTTGGTTACAAGAACAATGGCAGAGAGAACTGATAAGAGAGTTTGTGGGACCCTTCAGGTATTTTTTGCACAGAAAAAATTGTCTCAAACCTATTCATCAAACCATTTTTTTACGGTTTCAAACCTATTTGCAAACCATTTTTTTCATAGATCATCGGAGAGAATTGTGATTCCATTCGGACCAGAGGGCAGGATGAAAAGCCCGACTTATTTTCGGCAAATACTAATAATAACTATATGAGATGCAATATGCCTTCTTTGGACGTATTATGTCAGTCGACCTTCCAGGAAAGCAACATTACAAGAGCAGAAGAAATATCTTGCAAAGAGTCTGGAACGCTTAGCCGAGAAGATAGTAAGGATGGAACCAAATACAATACACCGCCCTCGGAAAGTAAATCTCACATATTCACAACGAAAGGGAAAAGTGAAGAGGTTCATGTTTGGTGTTTCGATTCGTTGCAGACCTTCACCACCGTCAGAAACAACACTAAAATACAATGCTGTAGTGACACCAGCGTCAAGAGTGAAAATGATGCTGATATTGTAGAGGACTTCAAATATTGTCCTAACCAAGGAGCAATCCATTTATTGCAGACATTCTTTGGGAAACTGTGCCGAATCGGTACCCTGGGAAGCACTACGTGGACAAAGAAAATTCAAATGAAACCGTGTCGTTTTGTACTTGCGCACCTTTGCATTACCGAAGAGACCAGGAGAACAATTGAAGGTCTCAGATCTATGTCTCAAATGTCAAAACGTAAAGAACAAGATGAATCACTTCGCAATAATAAACTTATGGTAGTTGACACGTTTAAAGATGAATCTTGCCGTCGTCATCTTGCATCTTCTATTGGTTGCGAGCTTCCTGTTAATAGTGATGATCCAATAGAACTTAACTACTATATGACAAATGTTGCACAATTCGGCTTTGATCATATCATTATCATTGGGGAGATTGAAAATGGAATGATTTTTTTGGATTGCTATGGTCGTGTGTTTCAATGGGAAGAAGAATGTCGGATGTTATGGCCACTCGGAAATTCTTTGGAAGAAGCGATGTCAAATGGCGAGAAAAATCAAGTGCCATGGTATTGGGAGTATGATGGAGCTGTATATGAGTTCAAAGAATTACTTCAACGTATGTACAAAAAATGTTATTGTAATGTTGCATTAGTTGTCGATAACTTTATTTAATATTTTTGTACCCCATTTTATTTACTCTAGAAGAATCTATTGATGCAAAAAAAGAAACTAACAAGAGATCAAAAAAGAAAAAA